AGACCTGCAATCGGTCCCACAAGGAGCGGCGGAGTCGAGGGTTCAGACTAGCGTAAACAAAAGAGGTCGAACTCGCATCGTCACGAATCCGAACATGGATATGTTGGCGACCACATTCGATGATTTGGAGATCCACCCCCTCCCGCCATAACACCCAGATGCCTTCGGAGAAACCAGTCCTCAACTCGAAACGAGTGATCATAACCGCTACGACAGATAAACCTATCCGCTCCCATGCCACTGATCTGTGGTTCAAACAACGCAAAAACATCCGGCTTAAACTGGGACTTGAGGGCCAAAAAAACTCGTCTAAATTCATCAGACGCAGCTCCACGCACATGCCAGGATGCTAAATTCATTATTATACAACATAAAGTGGACGGGTAACCACATATCTCAAACCGAGCACGGGACTTGCGTCCCATCCCCCTCATCCATATGCAAATCATGGCTCGAACTCGCAGTGTCGTCAGCTGACTCCACACACATCTGGGCCGCCTCCGTGGTCGACAACTGTTGGGGATTAGCCACCCGGTCCACCAACATACCTGGATCACCAGTGTCCAACAGTTCCACCTCCATACCGGATGGCGGCGGAGTAGGTGTATCCAAGACCTGTACCACTAGATGTTTTTAGGAGTCCAGTGATGAGGCCACCGGCACCACTGCCCGTGAGGCAGAGACCAAAGATCCCTGTTGTCCCATTCTCGCATCTAACACAGGTGCCTTTGCACCCGAGCCCTCCTGATTCTGCTGTTTTGCCCCCGGAACCAAAGGACGAGGACCTGAGGTAACAACCCCCAGATGTTGCGGAGCTTTCCCCTCGGAAGATTGTCCCACTACCGCTTTCTCCTTATTATGTCTAGCAAAAGATCCAGCCGAAAACCCGGTGTGATTCTTATCTAGTCCAAATACCCCACCGGCCGAAGAAGTTCTCTGAACTAGACTAGCCTCGGGATGCTCCTCCCGGAGAACATTGAACCGCGATCCCAGAGCTGGCGAAGCCGCCTGCCGTTGTGTAGGAGCAACACCCCCCTTTTTTAGTCCTAGTAGTTTGTCGACCACTAGGGTTGCCCCTAGTTTTAGCCACTAGCCAAGGGCCGTAGACACTATCACCCTCGGTTTCTGGGTTCGCGCTCCTGGTGTTTGGCCTAATAGCAACAGTTGGTGCGCCACCCAAGACATCACGTTCTTTATTACCCGCACCATCGACCCCGACCCCTGGTGTCGCCTCCTTGCTCGGGCCAGCGCGGTTAGGACAAGACTCGGCTGCATGGCCGTAGACTCCACAATTGAAACAAATATGCGTCAAGAGCTCATACTCCACCCGCTGGACCTTCCCCCGAATAGATAAGTTGGCGCACAAAGGTTTAGTTAAATCCAAAACCACCGCTAGACGGGCATACTTCTCCCCGAGCCTGAGATGCTGTTTGATGGTCAACTTTCAAAACCTTACCGACAATCTCCCCAATCGTTTGGAAAACCTTGGTATGGTACAAGTGGACAGGCATCCCCGGTAGTCGAATCCACGTCACTAGCGACTTGACCTGGTTGCAAGACGCGTCAAACTCCTCACTCCAAGATTGGACATGCAAATAAAATTTTTGATACTGTTTCGACACAACCCACGGGCCACCTACGAGGACGCGGTCCGCATCTGCCTTAGTGTTAAAGCGAATTTGAAAGTAGCCATTTTCTAAATCGATCATATCACATCCACTCATGAAAGGCCAAAGAGTGCACAGTTTGCTGTACAGTAATTGATGTGAGAAAACTGTGCCCATCACTTTGATCACCACCACATGCCGCCAAGAAAGCAGAAGCTGATCATAGAAACTCTCCTTGAAACGAATTTCCGAAAGCGGTCCTTGACGATCGAATGTCACCTCATCGTCTTCGGCCCCCCTCAGCCGAGTCGTCATATACAATCTCAACGTGAGCCGGGCTACGGTTCAACATATCCCTAAAGCTGGGACCCCCTTGCGCCGTTGTCGCTCGTATCCCCTCCAGGCGAGGGTCATTATCACCACCACTAGATTGATCAAGAGGACGAGACCTCTTCAGCGAGGGAAATTCCGACTTACGTCTGTCAGGAGGATCAGATTTCAAGTAAACCGGTGGAGGTCGTGAAGTCGCCGGCGAACTCATTGTCCTAATTTCTCTTTTTCTAATTTGCCTTAGATTATTTTTCATGGTGAATTTTTTTAGTCATTTGTTCCAACTCTCATGTTTTGTATTGAGGTGATTTATGTGAATTTTATATGTTAAAATTGCTTATTTGCTTTTCAGTATATTTTTTGTTTTACTTTTTTTTTTCTCTTCTTCACTAAACAACATTCTATTCTATTAACCCCATAGCAACACTTTCTTAATATTGTATGATTTTTGTTGCAACAACAATAACAATATTATAACTAAATTATTAATTTTGTATGTAAAGAAGTTTTTCAAAAATTAAAATAACGTTTTAAATGTTGTTAGTACTTTGTTATTTGTTTAACATTTTTATTTTTCCGGCTTATTATTTAAATTGGTAGTTTTACATATTTCATTGATCAAATAATATTTTTATCATTTACCCGTGTAGTACACGGATTGCACTAGTAATTAATGAAAACTGGATAAAACCTAAAATTGGAAACTTCTTCCTTTTTCAAAAAAAAAAAAAATAAAATTAAGATTTATAAATTATGTTGTATTTATTTAAATTTTTTTAAGATTTTTAGATGTAGTTATTTGGGCTTTTGAGAATATTTTACTTTATCATTTGAAATTGAAATTTAGTTATAACTTTTTAATATTTGCTACGAAATCTCTTTCTAAATCTCATATCCATACTTAACATTTCATAAAACTAGTATTTGATCTTGTGCATTTGCTCAGATATAAAACACGTTTTTGTTTGTATTTATTAATTAGACATGTACTTCTATCATATAAAAATCATTATTTTTTCTTAAGTTATTTTTATCATTCAAAATTAATTAAAATTTAAATTTTATTTTAATCATGCAATGTTTACCTTAGTAACATGAATAAAATAATTTATATATTTTTATCATATATTAAGAAAATGAACATAAATAAAAAAAAAATATTGGTGTTTCCGATTTTTAGAAAAAAAAAATGTGCCAATCATATTTTTCTCCTAACAATGCAACCAAATATAGCGGTTACGTCTCTGAATGTGCCAACCAACTTTAAGTTTCAACATTAGCCTTTACACGTTTGAATGTTTTCCTAGCAAATTTAGAATTAATTTAGTAACTGATCTAAAAAATAAATAATAAAAATATATATAAGGTGTAACAATTTTAGCAGATTAGTAAGTAATTAATTAAAAAAATGTAACTTCTTTTGAAGGGAAATAAAAATAGGTTTTATTAAATGTTTTATTAAATGCATTAGCTAGTATATAGATAATATAGATTCCTCTTAAATTGAAAATATTAATAATAATCTCAAATATAAAAAAGTCCCAAAATGTCACTGAAAAGTTTAAATAAATACACTGTTTTGTATACAATAGACAAAATTGCGTTTAAAGGCACAACCTTTAAGATTTTCGTAATTTAATCACAACATTTTTGTTATTTAATTTTTTTTTTCAAAACGATAGATTCATTGATGAAACCACATAATTACAGCCGGCCAAAGCCGGAATAGGAGGACTACCCAAGGCAGCCTAAAGTCCACAACACACACTACAAAACACAAGAAAAATAAAAGCTCCCCACAGGAGAATACACAGCTCCCCACAGGAGAATACATGAACTCCTCAAAGGAGAATAACACGATAAACATACTCCCCAACGGGAGAAAAAACACACCAGCAACAGAAAAATAACAGAACTATACAGAAAAACCACACAAACACAACAGAAAGGAAGAAATAAGAACTAATCAGCCCTCCCAACTGCAACAGACAACCGAGCCATACGCACGAGCCCCAGTAGGAAAAGAAGTACAACTCCCACCAGATCTAGAAACTGCAATTGGAGGCCTAACTAAATCCGGACACAGAAGATGAACCTCCTCCTACCAGAACCACCCCGAGCCCCCCCGCGAGATCCAGCTGAAAAAACCCCCAACACCAAATCAGCCGGGAACAATCAGACGCCCACCACCACCGGCAGCCCGAAAATCCACCAACGTTAGTAGCCCGAAACTCCCAACCGACGAACCACCCGCCCCAGCTACAGTGACGGGATGACCCCGAGGGTTTAGCCAACAACGAAGCTCAACCACCGTCCACCCCAAAGCAGCAGATAGCGACGACGACTAGAAGCCTACCCGACCGATGTAGGGTCCCCGCCAGAGAACCGCCATGGCCACCGAGATTGGAGAAGCACCACGACAGGAAGCATGGAACATCGGGAAAGTAGACTTACCGTCCCCCAGTGAAGCACGGCGCGGCGGTCGGCCGACGCCTGCAGAAAGAAGGCTGCGACGGGAAAGAAGCGAGATCTAGGGTTAGATGAATTGGGGCAAATATTGGGCAGAGAGAGAGGAAATCTAAAACTTGCTATTTAAGTTTCAATCACCACTTTTCCTACACTTTCAGATCTGAATCTATTTGGGAATTTGGTTTGCATAAGGTTTGTAATCATGGTTTGGAGTTAAAAAAAAAATAAAAAAATAAAAAAATTATTGAAATCCTTATTGCCAAATGTAGGTCCACTGTGGGAAAACACACCATTCCAGTGCTACTATCGTGCACCCTGGCACACCTACCAAGATATACCTAGACAGTTTAAAATGAGCATGTTACTTTATAAAATAACCATGTGTAACATGTTCATTTCAAAAAAGTATTGGCACAATGCTACCATCTCGCGCTCACTGGGCCCACCATTTCCAATTCATCGCACACATGACGCAACACAAGTAAAGTGAATTGACAAAAAGAGAAGCGGAGAGAACAAAGAAAAGATACAAAAAATCACACTCGCTCACATTCACTCACAAGATCCACCGCCGTGAAAACGCCACCGACGGAGATGGCGTCTTTGGCCTTCACCTCCTCCCTCAACCTCCGCCCACGCCCCCTCTCCGCCCCGAAACTCCGCTCCCCCGCCGCCGCCCCTAAATCCCTCCGCCTCACTCCACGATACAGATCTCCCATCGCCAACACCCTCCACAATCCCGAAACCCCCCTTATCGAGAATCAAACTCAATTCGCCAACCAAAAGTCCGCATTTCTGCTCCCCTCCTCTAAACGCGCGCCGTTGACTGTCGCCTCAGCCTCTTCGGCCGCTTCTCCGCCGGCACACCCTTCTCCTCAGCCGTGGCAGGGAGCCGCCATCAAGCCGCTCCTAGCATCCATCGTGACTGGAGTCATTCTTTGGTTCTTGCCCGCTCCTAACGGCGTCTCGCGCATCGCGTGGCAACTGCTCTCGATCTTCCTAGCCACAATCGTTGGAATCATTACCCAGCCTTTGCCGCTCGGGGCCGTAGCCTTAATGGGCCTGGGCGCGTGCGTCCTGACGAAAACCCTCACGTTCGCGGCCGCGTTTTCAGCCTTCGGTGATCCTATCCCGTGGCTGATTGCGTTAGCCTTCTTTTTCGCCCGAGGGTTTATCAAGACCGGATTGGGCAACAGGATCGCGTACCAATTCGTCTCCTTATTTGGAAGCTCTTCTCTAGGGCTAGGCTACAGTTTGGTTTTCAGCGAGGCCCTTCTGGCCCCAGCAATACCCTCAGTCTCGGCCAGAGCTGGTGGGATTTTCCTGCCGTTGGTGAAATCCTTGTGTGTGGCCTGTGGTAGTAATGTAGGGGATGGGACTGAGAACAAATTGGGCTCTTGGTTGATGCTCACATGCTTCCAGACATCTGTGATCTCATCGTCTATGTTTTTGACTGCTATGGCCGCCAATCCTCTGGCAGCTAATTTAACGGCCAGCACAATTAACATGCCAATTGGTTGGATGGATTGGGCTAAGGCGGCAATAGTGCCGGGTTTGGTGTCGTTGGTTGTGGTGCCATTGTTGTTGTACGTTATTTATCCACCGACGGTGAAAAGTAGTCCTGATGCGCCCAAGCTTGCAAGGGAGAGGCTGGAGAAGATGGGGCCCATGTCGAAGAACGAGATCATCATGGCTGGGACTCTGCTTCTTACAGTACGTGAAACTCAATGTTCTATTGTGGATTATAGATTTTATTATTCTTGTCAATGCTTGGCATTCTCTTATACTTAGTGCTTGATTTTATCTTTCTATTTGTTACTAGACTTTTTTAATGTTGCTTGTTTGTTAGTGGTGGTGCACATATCCGGATATCTAAAATGGCCTGCACATGCTTTTCTTTTTGTGTTGGGGTTACTCAGCTCTCTATTGATTGGGAGTGGAGGTTTTGCATTTTCAAAAGCTGGGAAAACTAATTAGAGTAGCTATATTTTGAAGTTTTGTGGTGAGTCTTGCTTAAGTGACTGCACGCTAAAACCATCAATCATTCTATGGTATATCATCCAGTAGTTGAAAGGTGGTATTTTACTGAGGTATCTGTCTCCCTGTTCTGTTAACTGTTTGAATGCAGTGAAATTGTGGTCTCATATTGTCAAATAAGAGGCTTAGTCGAGAAAAAAAACTATTAATTCCTTAAAGCTTGTTTCCAGAATGTCAGAACCCTCTACAGAAACTAGAAGTACATTTAAGAACAAATTGTCATTTACAAGGCTAAGCCATAATGTTGATTGTGTGGATGAATAAGTAACTTGAAAATGTGTTGTTCCATTTAAAACTGAAAATGAGAACACTCTGTATTTGAGCTTGCTTCTTCTTCATCGCAGAACAAATATAATTTTTCCTAATTTATTTATTGGTTCATGCAAACTTGCAAAGAGATTTACCTCGATATATATATTTTTTATTGGGACAAAAATCAGGTAGGGCTCTGGATTTTCGGAAGTGTCTTGAATGTGGATGCAGTGACTGCAGCAATTCTTGGGCTTTCTGTACTCCTTGTAACTGGGGTTGTAACATGGAAGGAATGTCTGGCCGAGGCAGTTGCCTGGGACACCCTTACTTGGTTTGCTGCACTCATTGCAATGGCTGGCTATCTTAACAAATACGGTCTTATTTCTTGGTTCAGCCAAACTGTTGTTAAGGTACAATGACTTCTTTATTCTATGCATGCTGTGCATAGGTAGGTGTTAGTTGTTACTATAGCTGAAATCTGCTGTTAATTTGGTCAAGATTTTGAAGTACGGTCTCTAGAAGCACAAATAGGGAAAAGTGAAGGGCCTGGATTAAAACTAAAACTGGAAGGGTATTAAACTCGGAATTATATAATGTACGTCTTATGATTATAATTTTCTAATTTACCCAGTCGACTCTCTGCTACTATTGATGTTTGTTAAAAGTTTAGAATGTTAAAAATGGTTTTGTGTGGTTATGCTTGAATTCATCTAGTGTGAACTTATTTTTTCTAAAATTGCTATTATAATATGAAATGTCTGACAAATACATATGAAGTTGAAGTTTCTACATCTTACCCTGAATCATTGTCACTTGTGACATGATAATCTTTTTCCATCTGTCACTGTGAACAAAAGCCTTGTACTGAGAAATAAATTGGAAATTTGTTATTGATGCCTCATAAAGCAGTTGAGGGTATATTTCTGTTGAATACCGCAGAATATAATTGCATCTTTTTTTCCATTTTCCTTGCAGTTTGTTGGTGGATTGGGTCTGTCATGGCAGCTATCATTCGGCATTCTTGTTCTTCTCTACTTCTACTCCCACTATTTTTTCGCCAGTGGGGCCGCTCATATAGGCGCCATGTTTACAGCTTTCTTATCCGTGGCAAGTGCTTTGGGTACCCCACCATACCTTGGTGCTGTTGTTCTATCCTTCCTTTCCAATCTCATGGGCGGCATTACCCATTACGGGATTGGGTCGGCCCCTGTTTTCTACGGTGCTGGCTATGTGCCCCTCGCAAAATGGTGGGGCTATGGCTTCTTGATCTCCATTGTCAATCTTGTAATTTGGCTTGGAGTTGGAGGGGTCTGGTGGAAGACCATTGGCTTGTGGTAGGCCATCTCCGAGTGGATTTTTTTTTTTTTCGGTTAATTACAAGAAATGCTCCCGATGTTTGGTGAAATTACGATATTGTTGCCTAGAATTTTACTAAATACCCCCTACAGATTTGTTTTTTGTTTTCACGACTCGTATTGATGCGGGGCGTGCATTGCGTAAATACAAAGCTGAAGGGGGTACTCTGTCATTGAGTCGAACTTTAGGGGCGCTTTATTATTTATGTTTTAGATGTTGGTCTACATCATTTGGAGATTATTGGGTTGCTCAACAGCACTATTGTAGCTTGGCTATTGAAGGCTTTATGTAGAACAGGGGTTTTGGTAGCTTTTATTCGTGAAGAGTTGTAGCAAGAGTTGATTTATAGGCGAGGCTATTTATTGGTGAAACTCAAATGTTTTGCAATTGGAAGTTCTGATTCAAGAATGTATGTTGCATCTCTCAGTTATATGTGAGTTTTTTGGCCTAATTGACGCAGTAGTGTATTTTCCTGCCATCCGTACTTTTTTACAGTAAGAAATCACCAACCTCGAGTTGTTAAACGAAGTGAGATGCTCGTCTTAGTTTGGCTCGGACCTTTAAAAGACTCAACCTCGATAAGGCTTGAAAATATGATTTTTCATGTAATTTTTCATAGTTTGTGTTAGAATATATTTTGTATATATGGTTATAATATATTTTGTATATATCTTGTAGGATTAGGTTTAGGCTCATTATGTTCCTATATATATGTCTACATGTCTTGTGAATAATATAGAATATATATTTTTCCACTTTCTTACATGGTATCAGAGTAGGTTTATAGTCCAATATAGGGTTAGTATTTTTCGCTCGTCTCCGGCCGTCTTCTATTCTCACCTCCCAGACCATCCTCTCCGGCATCTTCCGGCGAGCCGTCGGTCAAAATTTGGGCCCGTTCGGAGGCGCGTGGGACCCACACTCGCCGGAACATTGCGACAGTCCTGGCAGCTTCAGCCGGCGCGTGAGATTCACCCCCAGCTCTGATCGCCGTGGTTTTTCAGTCGTCGACTCCTCTCATCGGCGACTACGTCCTTGCGTGGTCGGTTTTGATTTTTGTGCCGTTTTTAATTTCGGCCTTTTACTGCTATTTTATCCGGTTTGTGATCCAGTTCGTGATTTTCTTTTGTCTTCGTACTGTTGCTGGTTGCTGGTGCTTCTTTATTTTTTGGATATAGATTCTTCTATGGTGGTCTGCCACATTTGTCATGTTCAGGGTCATATTGCTCCATTTTGTCCTACGGTGGTATGTCATATTTGCCATGTTCGGGGTCATATTGCTACATATTGTCTAGCCAGATCACACCGTTCGAGAGGTTCATTCTCTCGGGTCTTCCTCTACCGCCATTTCTTCTGTTACAACGGCTGTCACTACTTAGCCTCAGCATTCGTCTTACACTCTTCAAGACATAGAGGCTATTCTCAAACAGGTTCTTCTTTCCAATTCTTCTATGTCTGCTACCGGAGGTAAATCACATTGGTATTTTGATTCTGCCTGTTGCAATCACATGACCTCTAGCCCGCAGCTTTTGTCTTCCTCGTCTTCCGTATTTACCTCCTATATATACTGCTAATGATACTCTTATGAATGTTACTCACACTGGTTTGATTTCTTCCCCTTCCTTGCATCTTCCCGACACATACTGCATTCCTGACTTGGCTTTGAATCTTATTTCTGTTGGTCAATTGGTTGACCAAGGTCTTAATGTTATATTTCATCTTCTGGTGTTCAGGTTCAGGATTCATAGACGGGACTGCTTCTCGGGAAAGGTCGCAAGACGGGCCGATTATTTGAGCTTGAGTCACTTCATGTCCCTCGTTCTTACACTTTTTCTGCTTCTGCCACCGATAGTAAGTCTAGTTTCCAGTGGCATCTTCGTCTTGGGCATGCGTCTTCAAATAAAGTTCGTTCTTTATATAATAAGGGTCTTTTGGGTTCAGGTCATTTTGAGTCTTTTAGTTGTCTTCATTGCAAACTTGGGAAACAACCGGCTCTTTCTTTTTCTGATAGTTTGTCAACTGCAGATAAACCTTTTGGTTTGGTACATTCTGATATTTGGGGTCCTTCTTCTGTTGCTTCTCTAAGTGGTTTTCGGTATTTTGTTATTTTTGTTGATGATTTTTCTCGTTTTACCTGGATCTATTTTCTCAAAAATCGTTCTGAGTTGTCCAGCATATATGTTCAATTTGCTAAAATGATTCTTACACAATTTTCTTGTCCTATAAAGGTCTTGCGTACTGACAATGCTCTTGAGTACAAAGATTCTACTTTTTTTAAATTTCTTTCTGAACAGGGCACCTTAGTTCAACGTCCGTGTCCATATACTTCCCAACAAAATGGACGAGTTGAACGTAAGCACCGTCACATTCTTGATACTGTTCGTGCTCTTCTTCTTTCTGCTCAATGTCCTGATCATTTTTGGGGTGAGGCAGCCTTGACTGTTGTTTATGCTATCAATCGGTTACCCTCATCAGTCATTAGGGATGTCAGTCCTTTTGAGAGGTTGTACGGTCAGTCTCCTGATTATACTCAGTTACGTCCTTTTGGTTGTGCTTGCTTTGTTCTCCTCCCGTCCTATGAGCAGACCAAATTAGAACCTCGAGCTCGTCTGTGTTGTTTTTTGGGTTATGGGGTAGAACACAAAGGATTTAGGTGTTGGGATCCGATTTCTAATAGGTTGCGTATCTCGCGTTATGCTACCTTTTGGGAGCATACTACTTTTTCCTCCTTGTCTAAGTTCCACATTCCGTTTGATTCGGCGTCTCCTTTATTCATGTCTATTACTTCAGATCTTTTTCCAGATACAGATACAGGTTCCGACTCTCAGCTCATTGACACGCCTGTCATGCCTCCGTCTTCTGAAGTGGCTCCACCTGTGCATCCTGAACCAACGGTTCTTAATGAGCCCTCTTCTGGTTCTGTACGTTTGCCAGCTATTGATCAGCGACGGTCGACTCGTGTAAGTCGTCCCCCTTCTTACTTACTTGATTATCATTGTTATTCGGCCATATTATCTCATCATGAGCCTAGGTCTTTTCGTGAGACAAGTATTGATCCATTGTGGCAACAAGCTATGGCTGAGGAATTGCAGGCCTTAGACAAGACTCATACTTGGGACCTAGTTGATCTACCTGCTGGCAAGAAACCCATCGGATGCAAATGGGTTTACAAGATCAAAACAAATTCAGATGGGTCTATTGAGCGCTACAAAGCTCGTATTGTTGCTAAGGTGTACTCACAGGAGTATGGCATAGATTGTGAAGAGACATTTGCACCGGTTGCTCGTCTTACTACTGCACGCTGTTTACTTGCAGTTGCTGCAGCTTGTCGATGGTCTCTTTTACAGTTAGATGTTAAGAATGCCTTCTTGCACGGTGCATTATCTGAGGAGGTTTACATGAATCCTCCTCCTGGGTTCTTGTCCTCTGGGAAGGTTTGTCGTCTGCGCCGAGCTTTGTATGGCTTGAAACAAACGCCTCGTTCCTGGTACGCCACGTTCAGTTCTGCATTGTTTCAGTTTGGTTTCACTACGAGTGATCACAATTCTACCCTATTTCTTCGGCGCTCTTCATCTGGGATCATTGTTTTGTTGCTCTATGTTGATGATATGATCATCGCCGGGGATGATGTTTCGGGTATTTCCGATTTACAGAATTATCTTCGACAACATTTTGAGATGAAGAGTTTGGGTCATCTTCGCTATTTTCTGGATCTTGAGATTTATGATTCCTCTGATGGCTTCTATTTGTCTCAAGCCAAGTATGCCTCTGATCTTCTTGCTCGAGCCGGTCTCACTGATTGCCAGACAGCTTCTACTCCTCTTGATTATGATTTTGTCTTACTCCATTGGATGGTTCTCTTCTTGAGGATCCTACGTTATATCGCCAGCTCGTTGGGAGTTTGATATATTTGACTGTCACTCGGCCTGATATAGCTCATGCTGTTCATATTGTGAGTCAGTTTATGGCTGCTTCGAGAACCACGCATCATTCTGCTGTGTTGTACATCCTTCGCTATGTGAAGGGCACCTTATTGCATGGTTTACATTTCTCGGCCAGTTCTTCCTTGTCCCTTAGCGGCTACTCTGATGCAGATTGGGTTGGCGATACTACTGATCGTCGCTCCACTACCGGGTATTGCTTCTTCTTAGGTGATTCACTTGTCTCTTGGCGCAGTAAGAAGCAAACTTTGGTTTCCCGTTCGAGTGCCGAATCTGAGTATCGTGCTCTTGCTGATTCCACCGCAGAGCTATTATGGTTGTGTCGATTACTTCGCTATGTGAAGGGCACCTTATTGCATGGTTTACATTTCTCGGCCAGTTCTTCCTTGTCCCTTAGCGGCTACTCTGATGCAGATTGGGCTGGCGATACTACTGATCGTCGCTCCACTATCGGGTATTGCTTCTTCTTAGGTGATTCACTTGTCTCTTGGCGCAGTAATAAGCAAACCTTGGTTTCTCGTTCGAGTGCCGAATCTGAGTATCGTGCTCTTGCTGATTCCACCGCAGAGCTATTATGGTTGCGTCGATTACTTGCTGATCTTGGTGTCCCTCAGTCATCCTCTACTGCTCTTCATTGTGATAGC